TTAGGCTATTTACATTCAGGGTTATTATTGAAATATGATTTGTATTTCCAGACATTTTGGTTTATTTTTGGTTTTAAACTTGACTTGGTTTCTCCTTTGATTGGCCTTTCCTTTAGTGTAGTTCCTCCCTTTTGCTGATTTTCATTGTTGTTTTTCATTTCCTCCTCCTGGAATATTTTGCTGAGGATGCTCTATAGTGCAGGCTTTGATCTTTAATTTTTCTTACAGTGCAGGTCTACGGGTAATTAATTCTTCCTATTTTTGTCTCAGAATATCTTTATTTTTGCTTCATTTTCTCAGAATATTGAATATTAGGTTGGAAAAAAGTTTCTTTTTTCATTTCTGCATTTTGAATAGGTCATTCCATTGTTGCATCTTGCCAGGAGTCATCTTTATCACATTTTTCTATAAAGAATTTTTTTTGTCTCTAAATGCTTTTAAGATTTTTTAATTGATTTTTAACAACTTAATTATGATGTGCCTTGGTGTAGTACGTGTATTTTATTATTATTATTATTATTATTCTGTGTGTGTGTGTGTGTGTGTGTGTGTGTGTGGTGCTGGGGATTGAACCCAGGGCCTTGTGCATGCAAGGCAAGCACTCCATCAACTGAGAAACATCCCCATCCCCATGTATATTATTATTATTATTATTTTTAAATTTTTAAAAATACTTTTATGTGGTGCTGAGGATTGAACCCAGTGCCTCACGTGTTCGAGGCAAGTGCTCTACCACTGAGCTACAGCACCAACCCATCATAGCTCAATCTTAACACTCCCACCGGTACCCGCTGGAGTCTCATCAGAGAGTGCCACCTCTGAGTGGCATCAAGGGACCCCCAAGGAGCTTCTTGGTCCCAGGTGATCTCTTGATCATCTCCCTCTGTACATTCTGCCGGAGATGCTGTGGAGATTGGCACTCTGTGATCACAGGCTTAGAAAGAAAAGAGCCCTTCTCCAGCAGGTGACAGGGAAATGTTGGTGTTGAAGTCATGAGTGGGCCCAGGTCTCCAACACCGATTTCCATAGACAGTGAGGTCTTTTTCACATTTCCCTTTCTAACTTGGCTGCCAAGAAACCAAGAGCTGTTCTTGATCTATCAACCTTGATTTTTAAAACCATTTGTCCCTTCTTTGTACCTTGTGGGTCTTTATCGCTGCCTACCTACTTCTTGGTGTACTAACTTAAGACACCTTAAAGTTCAGCAACAGTGGAGCTGCACCCGACTGCACTTGTGTCGTTACCCTGGGCTACAGGCAACTGCTCTGCAGGGCTGAGGTGCCAGTGTGTGGATCATAGATCTATGGGGGCAGGTGGGGGGGAAGGCGGAAAAGGGTCTATTTATGACCCCATCCAATGGCATATGGCCCAGGACTCCTTACATGCTGTTCCCAAGGGCCACCCTGGGTCAGTGGCTACCACATTGGTCAGGATCTGTGGTCATGTTGTATGATGAGGATCTCTGCTGCAGAGGAGCTGAGCCAGGGCCAAACACTGCCTGGGGAGCAGCAAGGAGCCCCAAACTGCAAGTAGGTGAGACCCTGGTGGCAAGACCCTTGGGTCTCTTCTAATCCAAGAGTCTAGGGGCTCTGTGGTGACAGGTGACGAGGAGTCTGCAGGCCAGGCTCTTCCAGGCTAGGAATGGCCACAGGCTATGACTTGCCTTGGAAGAGAGATCTGTGCTTCTGCCAGGGCTTCACCCAGCAAGGCTACCGCCCATCCTGCTGCTCACAGGTGTGCACGCACATGGTGCTTCGATCCTGACCCAAGCGTTGGTGACCAGAATCAGTCACCAAGGTTTGGGGAACAGCTCACTTCTGTCCACTTGCATAGCTGAAGTGGCTTGAAGGGTGGGTTTGGAGCACCCGAAGGTAGCTGCCTCCGTGGCTGGGTACACCCAGCCCCATATATATTATTATTCACCTAGAATATTTTGAAGTTGTTCAGTTGGTAGGTTTATAATTTTTATAAGTTTAGGGAATTCTAGTCATTATTCCTTTTTAATTTTTTTTTCCTGTTCTCTCTTGTTTTGGTACTGTGGTCATACATGGTTGATCACATGATATCCCATTGAGATTGCCCCTTAATTTCATTTTTATTTGCTTAATTTTATAGCTTCTAATAATTGTGTCCTAAAGTTTACTAATCTTTTCTTTTGCAAGTGCTGTTAATCTGTCCCGTGAGATATTGATTTTGTTTTACTTTTTAATTTTTAAAAAATTTTTAGTTCCACATATTAATTGTACAGATTGATGAGATTCACTGGAATGTGTCCATTCGTGCATACACTGTTCATTAATCATGCCCGTCCACCCTTTTTCTATCTACCCACTCTCACCCTCTTCCCAATAACTACTAATCCTCCTCTACTTTCAGGTCAACCTTTTTTTTTTTTTTTTTTTTTTTTTAATTTTCTACGTATTAGAGTGAATATTTGTATTTTTTTTTTTGAGAGAGAGAGAGAGAATTTTTAATATTTATTTATTTTTTTGGTTTTCAGCAGACACAACATCTTTGTTTTTGTATGTGGTGCTGAGGATCGAACCCGGGCCGCATGCATGCCAGACGAGCGTGCTACTGCTTGAGCCACATCCCCAGCCCTGAATATTTGTATTTGTATTTCTGATTCTCGCTTTTAAAATTTAGCATGATGTCCTCCAGTTCTATCAATTTTCTGCAGATAACTGAATTTGTTGTTTTTTTGGTGCTGTGGATTGAATGCAGGGGCACTTGACCACTTAACCACATCCCCAGCCCTATTTTGTATTTTATTTGGAGACAGGGTCTCACTGTCTCACAGGGTCTCACTGCTTAGGACCTCACTTTTGCTGAGGCTGGCCTTGAACTCGAGATTCTCCTGTCTCAGCCTCCCAAGCCTCTGGGATTACAGGTGTGTACCACTGTGCCTGGCTGAAAAGTTTGTCTCAGTCACCCTGTTGAACCGGATTTGGTTTGTGAGACAGCTTCCTGTTGGGCCAGTGTAGAGGAATATCTGTGGGGTCTTAGAGATCGGAATATGCAAGGATTTCTGACCTTCAATGCAGTCCAAATTCAGACAGTATGTTCCTTCTCAAGATGGCTCCTGACTATAGCATTCTGGGGTTCCCTGGGAGATAATATGAAAAGCTAGTTGCCTGTGTTCTATTTAGGCTGCAAGGCCTATAAACGTTGTGAAACTTTCTATTAGCTAGGATTGCCAGTATTTGTACTGATAGAATTTGCTGGGGCTCTTTCACTGTTGCAGAGGGGACACTCCCTCAAGTGCCATTATATTTTATTTCTCTATGATATTGTCCCAGGACTTTGGTTTTTATAAGGTTTCCATTTTTCTTCTGTTGAATTCCTGTGATTTTCTTTGATCACTCATCTCAATTTGCAGCTAATACACTTGTGGCTTTGATTATTATTTGTGGAAGAATAGGTAATGAGTCCTGGGTGCCTCTTTCAGTAAGAAAATCTTACCATTCCTGAGAAATTTATTTCAGATTCTGAATGTTTCATTTCTAGAATTTCCACTTCACTCTCATATTTCCATTTTTCCTCACACTTTGAATTTTCATTAAATTCTTATATGGGCTACTTAGATTTGTATGATTGTCCTGTAATTTCTGTCATTTCTGGATTTGTTTCTGTAGACTGGTTTTTCCTTGTGGTTATAACTTACATGTTCCTTCTTATTGTCATTTCTAGTAATTTTTGATAGTAGTGGAACACTATTAATGTTACATTATTGATTATCTCTTATTTAAAGTGTTATCTTTAAAGAATTGAAGGCATTTAAATTACTTGTGGGTCAACTTGATCTCATGAAGGTTTGTTTTTTTCCTTTTGTTTTTACTGTGGAGCATCTAAAGTACTTTCTACTCAAGGATAGTTTGGCCCTGTAACATTTTATGGTACTCTACTGAAGTCTTGGTATCTCTGCTTTTGAACCTTAGAAATTGTTCAGCTTAAAATGTACGTTTTTAGTTTTCCATCACTGTGAAAAAATACTTGAGAGAGATCAACTCAAAAGAAGGAAAAGTTTATTTTGGCTCACATTTTAGAGATTTCTTTTAAGGCCACTTGGCCCTGTCACTTAGGGCCTGTGGTGAGGCAGAGAACATCATGGCAAGAGAACACATGGTAGAACAAAGCTGTTCTCCTCATGGTGGCCAGGAAACAAAGAAAGAGAAAGGGGCCAGGTTCCCAGTATCCCCTTCAAGGGCAAGCTCCCAGTGAACTCCTTCCACTAGATCCCTTCTCCTAAAGATTATTCCATCTCTCAGTAGCTCCATTAACTGAGGACTAAGCCATCAGCCTTTAGGGAACGTTTAAGATTCAAATCATAGCAGGCAGCCTTGTGGAATTTTACCCTGTGCAGGAGCCTTATCCTCAGCAGATTCAAGCAAACCCCTGCAGATTCCCAGAGCTCATTCGAGGTATAGCTCTTTTCAGTAGAATTCTGTCTTGTAACCTCCAGCTATCTAGCCGTCTAAACTCAGGATATTGGTCTCCTGAGTTTAGGAGTTATTCTCCTTCTCCATTTCCACCAGGAAAGTTAAAAAGCTGGGTCAATTTTAGGAATCATTCTTTACTCATAGATCACAGCACTTTTGTCTATGAGAGAATATTCTTTTCATCTATTTTGTTAAGTTCTTTAGTTTATGGTTGGTGGCTAGAAGCTGTGTGATCTATTACTATTGGGTTCCCTTTTTAAATCCTTTCCCTCTAATTACATATTTATTGTTCTATAGGAAATGTTAGAATCTGTCTTTTTTTTAAAAAAAAATCCTGTCTTTTTGTAATGCTGTTAAGTGTGGATTAATGTAGGAAAAACTAATTATCTTTTTCGGAATGCTGATAGCCACAACAACAACAACAACAACAACAACAACAACAAACGCTTATATTTTTATGGTCTAGATTTATCAGGGAAAAAGTACAATCACTCATCTCTGTATAGAACTTGTCTCAGTTTTTACTAAATTAGTTAAATGAGATGTTTTTCCTCTTTACAGGTTCAGTTTAACTTGCAGTTTACAAAACCAAATATATCACTAGGAGATGTTCAGTCAGGAGCAACCATTAATGTGCCTTGCTCAACTGATAAGGAAAAGTAAGTATTTATTGACATAAAATTTATTGTTTGTAGTTTTAAATGAATTTTTAATCAGTGATGGCCCCCTATTTTATCTGAGGCCTTTTAAGATGCTTGAGTCACTTTGAACTATGAAAAGTGCTTTCTCATATGTATTTGCAAGCTGTGGGATAGGCATATAATAGACATAAAAGAGATTTTCTTACACAAATGAAGATTGCTTTCATATGTATTCTTGGGCATGTACACAGGAATCTTTAATTTCTCTAAAGTCAGTTGTTTTTGTTTTTCTTGTGTGGCTTTGTTTGTCCTGGGTGCTCTTCATTTTTCTGATTTACTGCTTCTAGTATAATCTAAGAAACTAACTGGTTAATCTACTAGAATTACATAGTGAATAAAAGTAAAAAGGTTTGTAAGATTGACCACTAGGTTACCTAAAAAAATTGAGCACCAGTTTATGGTTTGTGTTTTGCCTGCTCAGAGATTCCTTCCTTATTTTTTAGGTTTCACACAGTACATTTTTGAATCAGTGACATGTGGCTTAATAAACCAACTGTTCCATGCATACCTTTTTCTCTAGATAGTTTTCATGTTTGCAGTTTTTTAAAACAAAATAATTATGGTTCTTTATTTACTTCAGATTTAGTGTTTGTAAAACCTGCTTGTTAACATTCATCATGAGCTATCCACTATTCCAATATATTGCAAATTCAGTTACTAACATAGTACACTAAGGGTTCTTTTTTTTTAATATTTTTATTTTTTAGTTGTTGATAGATCTCTATTTTATTTATTTATATGTGGTGCTGAGACTCAAACCCAGTGTCTCACACATGGTAGGCAAAGTGCGCTACCACTGAGCCATAGCGCCAAACCTTACTAAGGGTTCGTATCCCAGTTGTCACCAGGATGAATATTAAAATAGTTAATGAAGATCAGAATTGTGTGAGTTTTTGATAATGTATGTATTTATTATATCTAATTTTACACTTGCTCATAAGGCAGAGCAGCTGGAATTCATATTAATGGTAGAAAACCATAATGTTTGTATATTAAATATACAAATGACATATATCATTACATATATTAAATATATCAATGACACTGAGAGCAACTTTACTAGCAGAAAACATGACAGTCATTCACAATATCAAACATCATCTGACAATAAAATTGAGACTGTTCAGTGATTTTCATTTTTTTGTTTAGAAGTGGTTTATTGTTTTATTTGTTGTCAGCTAACAAAAAGTGGCAATGAGTATTAAAGAAAAAAATTAAGTTAAAATTGAAAAAATAAACCTAGAGAACTTTATTTTCTACACATTGGGAAAAGACCATCATTTAATTTTAAGGATTTATTATTTTGTAAGATCCTTTAAATTCTGACTAAAAGTATACTACTGGGGCAATTGTTAATACTATCAAAATTTTAGAAGGAATGCATGGTAGAAAGGGGCAAAAATACCAAAATATCCCCCCCCCTTTTTTTTTTTTAAATTTCTCTACCACTAGCCTTGAAGTGCTTTTGGTTAAAGGAAAATGAAATCAATTTATTTTAAATAGCATGAGATAGTAATTAAGTAATTAAATGATTCTCATGGCATGTACATATTTATTTTATTTCTAATATCTGTCACTTGTGTGCTTTTACAAAATTTTATGGTGCTCATAGGATTATTTTTATTTTGCTCACAGTCCTTATTCCAGCTCTTAGTTTATTATAATTTACTCATTAGGAACAGGGATACTTTGATTATATACAGATAAATTATATTTTTTAAGAAACAGTAAAGAATGTATTCTGAACCATAGCCATAAATTACAACTCAGTTACATTTTTTTTGTGTGTGTGATGCTAGATATTAAATCCAGGGTTTTTCACAGGCTAGCAAGTCTCTACCACTGAGCTATAACTCCAGCCCAGTTATATATATAGTACAGGCTAAGTATCCTTTATCCAAAATGCTTGGAAACTTGAAGTTTTCTAATTTCAGAATTTTGGGGGTTTTGAAATACTTGCTATACACAATGAGGTATCTTGGGGACAGGACCCAATGTAAATACAGAATTCATTGTTTCTTAATTTATGATGGCCTGAAGGTAATTCCTATGTGGCATTTTTAGTCTGTTTTGACTGTGACTCATCACAGGAAGTTAGAATTTTTCATTGGTAACATCATGTCAGTGCTTAAAAAATTTCAAATTTTGAAACTCTTCAGAGTTTTGGATTAAGGATGCTAAACTTGTTTGTGTAGATACATTAGGCAAACCTTAAAAATTAGCTAATAAAGAAAAAAATCAGACTTTGAAAAAATAATATATATTTTTTTTAAGTGGTGAAAATTTAGGATTGGAATCTAAATACTTGAAGAAAAGAGAAGATAGCATTCCTTTACGTGGACTGAGCCAGAATCTGTTTAGTAATTCAGGTGAGAAAAGACATTTCTGGACTGAATTTTTTGTAGTGTGTATACATAAAGACTAAAATGATAATCTTTGTTGTTTCATTTGCAGATCATCAGAAAGATAGCAATCTAGGAGTGATGCAGACATCTTCCAAACCCACAGTGCTCCCCTCTACATCTTCGGCCTATTTTCCTGGGCAGTTACCAAACAGTTAATTCTAGCATTGTCTTTTTACTTTCTGTTGACATTTCAGAAACTCAGGTGTTTTAAAAATATCTTAACAGGCAGAAGTCAAATCCTAACCAGGCAAGTTTCAGATTTTACTTGAGCTACCTACCATTAGACTGTTTAGATCCTTAATACTACTACTGGATTTATAGCACACAGTTAAAAAAACAATAAATTTATGTTCAGGGATTGGTAAAGATGCCGAGTAAAAGATATTTTGGTCTGTAAACATGTTGTTTTACAAAATAACAGGATGAATTTTAAACTAATTATTAGAATTTCAGTTCTAAGGGAAGAGATGATCCTTACAGAGGATATTCTAATCATTTAGAAGGTATGAGTAAATTGCAGCCTGCACAAGAAAATAATACTATGAAAGAAACCAAAGAATGCTAATAATTCAGTTTATTGTTTTCATTGATAAAATGTGTTAAGTTTGCCACCTGAGGATTATGAGGAAATAGATTTTCTCTTAAGATTATCTCTATTATTGATATTGATATTAAAGGGAAAAGTCCTAAAGCTACCTTGAGTGAAATGAATTAAACCTTCATAGCAAGCAAATATGAGTGTTTTTCTTGTAACATGTAAGTTAGCAGTTAAGTCTGTTAAATAACTTTTGATGTGCTTATTAGGCCAGGTGTGGTGACACATGCCTGCATTCCCAGCTACTCCGGAGGCTGAGGCAGGAGGATCACAAGTTCAAGGCCAGCATGGGCAATTTGGTGAGACCCTGGGTCAAAAAAAATAAAAGGGCTAGGAAGTAGCTTGGTGGCAAAAGGCTTGCATATGCATAAGGCCTTGGGTTCCATCACCAGCACATTAGAAAAGTAAATAATTTGGATAATATTTTTACATGACCAAATTAGTATATGGTACTTTTACACTGGAGCTGAACCATTTATAGGATTTTAGTGTTTTCTATAAGTTTATACCCATCCTGTCCTTCTCCTTAATTGGAAGTTTTATTGTTATGCAGTTAAATCTGTATCAGTGGGATTTGGTTTTAATAGCTCTATACAAAATCTTTACTAGAAGTGCATCATGGATATTCATTGTCTTTGTTTCTAAAATACCAGAACATGGCTTCCTTTTAATGTTTACTTGACAAAGTAGACAAAACTGTTAAAACTTTCTTCTCTTCCCCATTACTAAAAGTTTCAGGTTAAGAACAATTCCTATGGAGAAAAATTAGGTGATTTAAAAAATTTCACCCAGGATCATAGAGCCCATTATCTTCTTGTTGACAACCATCCAATACAGAGTACATTCTCAAAAATAACCTAAATTTGTTTGCAAATTTTGAAACTCATTGCTTGTGATAATGACATACCTATATCACTGGGTTCATAAGAATTGTTGCTAAATATTTTTAAAATACTTATACTTTGAAATTGCTGGCAATTGTCTTTAAGTGAGGGATCTAAACAGAATATTGAGTAACTAGTATTAGGTAGCAACTTTTTTTCTCCCTCTATTAGATATACTATATTAGTAAGAATACTCAAGTTACAATAACTTGAAAGCACTTATTCTGGAAAGAAGTCTTTTGGTAACATAAGAATCTGCTTTGTTGTAAATACTATGTAATATATATAAAAAACCACTGTGACAGGGTTTGGATGGAATATACGACCCACAGGTAGCTTTTTTTTTAATGTGTCCTTTTCCATATACATAAATTGAAATTGAATTTCTAAGATAGGATAGAGATCATTCTGACATTAACTTACTAAAGACTGTTTGTATTAAATGTACATATGTAGACTTCTGAGTGATAATTTTTTGCTCTACCTCTTTTATTTGAAATTGTATTCCAGTATAAAATTGTACATGTGTTAATAATCCAAAGGTTACATTTAATGTTATTTCTATAAACTGAGCTTTGTTAATAAAGTATTAAAATTACTTTGGGAGGGCTGGGACTGTGGCTTAGTGTTAGAGCGCTCGCCTAGAATGTGTGAGGCACTGGGTTCGGTCCTCAGCATTACATAAAAATAAAATTACTTTGGGAGTATGATATGTAGAAAAAGAAACAGAATTTGATCTGTTTGGAAAATCAAAGTACACTTGCATTGTATAGTGAATGAAAAGGAATGATTCAGAGAAAGGTTAAATCTTGTTAGTATAAGACTTGTTAGTATAAAAGTGATCATGGTAACAAAGCTAAAACCGGCTGTATCTGGACTCATAGATCAAGACTTTTTTTTAAAAAATCATTAAAATATTTAATTTTATTAACAGAATATTTACATTTTTAAGACCTTATTTAACCATAGTGAATGTTCCAGGTTTAAAAAGCATTAGGCAATAACCACACACAAGATGAAAACAGTGTAAACTATACAATACTTTATGTACAATTTTTACAAAGTAACACTTTTTTTAAATAATATAACTGGACACAAAAATATACACTTTAGAGAAATTCACATCAATAATTGTATAAAGCTCTCTCCTAGGGTCCTGAAAATTTAGGACAAACATTAGCTCTGTAAATAAAGTGTTACTGTGACAGTCCTGAAAGGCCACTATATATATTTATCTACATATAGATATCACATTAACATTTTCAAGGCTACCAGCTTTGCTATATAATTTTAGATTATGTATTCAAGTGTTGAGGTTTTTATGATTATGCAAACATTAAAAGAATAGTGGTATAAGAACAAGCTGGGGAACAAATCTGAGCCAGAATTTTTAGAATTACAGGCTCTAACCACCCCAATTTAAATTCTAAATGGCTGATATTTTTCACTTCAAAAACAGTAGTGAATATGCTTAAAATAAAATTATTGCAAACAAGCTTGAAACATGATTCAGATTTTAGTACAATTTTAAGTTTTTTTTTATAATGCAAACAATTCATTTATCATTTCTTTATTTTAGTGCATCTGCATTAAGGCTTTGAATTATTTGACCCAAGATTTTACAATATTAAAATCTGACTCGATTTTACAATGTTAAAATGAACAGGTCCACAACCATACTATCTACTCTGTCTGAGAGTCAGCATAAATAGAGTTAAAGCTCAACACCTTAAGGAAATGGTAGCAGAGACATATGCTAATATCTAAGAAGTTACATATATAGTTTTTAATTAAAGGATGTATAATAAAACAGTTTAGTGGCAAGAAATTGGTGCTAATAAACAAAAGGTTTCTTTTCAAAAGAAATTGTAACATCTTTGGAAAACTGTCCGGTTCCTTCTTTAGTTCCCACGGAGTTCATGCAGATAATTTCTTAAGACAATCTTAAAGTACACTGCAGATGGAGATGGAATGTACATCCAGAACTACAGGTGAAAACTAAGACCTGGGTGCTGATAGAAAATCTTCCTGATTTCAGTCATCACACATTTGTGTCCTGGAGTAAAGGTTCTTTGGCCTCTCCTGGCGCTTGTGTACTATGAGGATGGCTGTGACTGCCACAGTGCTTTCTCCAACTGCTGGACCGTAAGCTTAAATTGGTATGTTCTGGAATAAACAAGGCAACAAGCAGAGCCAGCAGTACCGAACAGGCTCCAAAGAGAAAGGGGGGGCCAGGGATTATGGAATTCTGAGGAAGAAAAGAACAATTAGGATTTTTGTACAAATACTCTTGTTCTTAAGAAATTGCTTATTTTTTTTTTTAGTAATAACTGACTGCTATCAGTTACAAGCCAATGACTCAATTCTTCATGAAAGCCATAGTTATAAAATGCATTCTGTTTTCCAGAGAAAAGTGGCACTTAAACTCTCACTATAAAATTCTGGGAATAACAATTGGCAAAAAAGCCTATACAAAAATGCCATAACTTTTAGCACAAAATATGAAACAGGTTCTAGAGTCCTCACTTAATTTGTTAGTCCTGGAAAACCATTATCTCAAAAGTACAATCAGGTAGCATATAATATTAATAACTACAGCGGTAGAATCAGTTATCATTTTCTTTCAGAAAAGTAATTATATGCTCAAATGCCTGAAAGTTAGAAAAACACAGGTAATGAAAAGAAACAATTTTAAATTATCCCCAAATTATATTTATTAACAAAAACTTACACTGCTAATTGTACTTTTGTGTGGCCCACAGGAAAGAAGTAGGCTTGGTTGGTTTTAAGGTTAATGCTGTGAGGAAGCCAGGGAGCCGTTTCTATTGGCTACAATGATCAATGATGCTTGGTTCTCACGTTTTTAGGTGTAAGGAAGGAAACGCAAACAAATGAACAAAGACCCATGTAACTGACTTTCTGTTCAGAAGGCTGGGATATCACAGAGGACTCAGGAAACATAAGCAGCATTGTAGGGAAATGACTAACATGTGCCATTAGATGTAGATTTGGCAAACCAGGCTTTATATAATTTTTCATTCTTGAAAAGGTATGCACAGAGAATGGCAATTCTGATGTATTTATATCACAGCCTGAGGTGTGTAATGATATTTGAATAGAATCTGTCAATACAAAGAATTTTGTCATGAAAAGGTACTAAGCTTGGAAATTCAAAGGAGAAAAAAATGTGGGCATTAAGTTATTTTTTTTCCAGGAAAAGTAAAGAGTGATTCTTTCACATGTAAAAACTGTATCATGCATTATTGATTACAACTTTTTTTAAGTGAAAATTTAAGATTAATTTGATTAATTAATTTTGTAATAAACAAAAGAAATGTAAGCAAGGGAAAAGAAAAAGGTTTGCATAATTTCACAATGAGAACACAGTCCTTTAGACTTGAGTTTTAAATGTCAAAAGTTAAAATAAGAATCTCAAAAGTTTTTTTTTTTAAGTTGTAGACAGACACAATATCTTTATTTATTTTTTAATGTGGTGCCTCATACATGCTAGGAGAGGACTCTACCACTGAGCCATGACCCCAGCCCCTCGAAAGCTTTTTATGATCAAAAAATACCATCTTTACTGGCCAAATAAATATGTGAAAGAAGAAATTACCTGTTCAAAGTGGTGCTGAGGACTTGTGTTTGTCCCCAAATCTGTTCCTGTTATTGGCAGTTCTTTAAGTTCCACGTGGAAGATGTAGAAAATAAATCCATAAAGGGCTGGTCCCAGACCATTGCACAATCCTCGAATTCCTGTTATCATTCCTTGAACAACACCTACATTGTTTAAAGAAATCATTTAGTATGCCACCCATTTTTTCCTCCTGTAAAAACCAGTACAAATATGAAATCAATCTGAAATCAAGGCATTTAATAAACACTTGCAATTACTGCAATGGCATTAAAAACTTGGAAGCCAAAGTGCATTTGGTGTGCTATCCTATGCAAACATGAGCTCAGATGGAATCATATATAGAATGAACATAGAAACAACTAGGCAAAACTACTTTATTTCCCTAGATTATAGCTTTCCAAATATCCTTGGTTAAAAACCAGTCATGCATGAGTTCAGAAGTGAGACTGTTAAAACTTGGTATCCAAGCAGCTATTCAAGACCCCTTTTTAGTAAAATACATATATCTCTCTATAATCTTCTATTCAGTTTAAACTGTAGCTTTCTTTGGCCATAGACTTTTCCTCATTTCACTAAGTGACCACTGCTATTCTTTTGCAACATCACTGTTTTGATTTTTTTCTTATGATCAGATAAAACATACTCTTTTAAAAGAATTATTCCTTCATCTCTTGGGATTCCCAAAATTAAATGCTCCCACCACAAAATCATGAGCCTTTCATGTTTATAGTTTGTTTATAGTTTGGTAACTGAAACCATAAGATTGGATAAAAGGGCTATGAACATATCTCCCAAGGTGTCTAGCACAACACAGCAAACAACAAATGTTTAGTGAACTTCTTTATTAAATTTTCTAGCAAGGGAACAGACAGGGCTATATATACAAAGGCAAAAGATAAGAGATTATATATATCCTCATTAAGGTAATATTCTAGAATCTGCTTTTCCTATTTACCACTGATAGCAATGTGAAAATTCTGTACCTTAAAAATACATTCATGTTTCGTACTTTTGTGAGGGAGAAAACAGGATCAGAATATTCTTTGCTTTTAAATAATTTTCGTTGGTTCCTATTAACTCACCCTGTTGATCAGCATCAGCAGTTCGTGAAACAAGTGCACTAACAGCTGGAAAGGTAATGCTAGACATGGCTGCTACTGCTCCAGCAGCCCACATCATCCTGTAATTAAAGCAGTAAAACAAAAGTGAGTCTTTTCCACTGTACCTGTCAAAATTAAAATACATACTTAAAAATCAAGTCAGTACAAGGAAAAGAATTATCCTATTCCTTTCTAAGTGACTGAGAAAATCTCTTAAAAGTCTAACCCTGTTTATATAGTCTCAAAAAAGAACAATCTCTCAGGCCAGGGTTGTGACTCAGTGGTAGAATGCTTGCTGAGCATGTATGAAGCACTGGGTTCGATCCCAGCACCACATAAAAAAAATAATCAAAATAAAGATATTGTGTCCATCTACAACTAAAAGAACAGTCTCTTACAAAAATAGTGTAAGGTTTTAAAATAAAATTGGGATATCATGTTCCAAACTAAAGTGTGTCAGACATTATTTCTGCAGGAATTTGAGAAGTTATGTTGAGGATAATGTATAATACAGATAAATAAATATCATCAGATGCTTCTAAATGTGTGAAGTGAGCAAGACTTCATCAAATTTCCCATGGACTTGATACTCAGTATAAAGACATCACTGATTTTATCTAATTCTTCACTTGTAAAGAAAGTAGCCTGGATGCTCCTGGCTTGATATTTAAAAGAAATGTCTCAGATAAGTTGTTAGCACCTCTTTGTAAAAACTAGACTGGAAAAGAAATTGCCCATCAGAACAAATTCTACCCAAGTCTAGAGATGAGGTGGCTAGTTGTGCAAATCATCAGCTTCCTGCAGGAAAAGCTGAGACAACATGAAACTGGGATCAAAGCAACTGGACTTTGTTCACTTCTCC